TGAATCAAGCAATTTTCGGTGAGCTGGAACCAATTACCCAAAAACCCATTGAAACAATGGTTTCGGTTAACGAGCAACCTTCTAGAACAGATTGTGCTCGTTAACCGAGGGACCACTGTAAACAGTTAGTTCTGAAAGGTTATTATAAGGCTCTGGATTACTGTGAGATAAGTTGTAGTTCATTGAAGACCTTGCCTTCTCATCAGCACTTTGCATTGAATTTAAATCTTACTTCAGATTTAATTCCATTGTATCAAGTTCCTAATTTAACTTTTAGTAAACTCAATATTGTCTCAGAGATGTTAAAAATTATTTCTTAGTTGAAAGAGTTACAGTTTGCTAATTTAGAAGATAATTTGCCATTTTATTTAGCAAAGGAATTTGCTATACCAAGTTTAACCATTCCCACAAGTTCACAACTGCTAATGCCAAACTAAACTAGTTACTAGGTGAAGTGAGAACCTGTAGCAACATAACATACCTTAATCCAATCAATATCATCAAGCCAGGCATCCTTGATTTGGTCACTTTCCTTCTTGAAATGATAAAAACCATCCCCATCAAAGTGGCCATCTTCCATTTCTTCTTTCATATTAAATGGAGTTATTTGTGTCTCACCCTCAAAATCTACTGTGCCTTCTTCTTGACCTGAAATTTTATAGTATAAATCACAACTAATCCTTTTGCTGACATACAACAGAGGTTCAGTTTTCAAAACTTACACATTTTAACACACAAAAACACACTTCTGTGATGGTCCTCCCTCAAAGGGGAGCTCTTAGGTAGAGTAAGGGAGCAAATAAGAAATAAAATGACTCGACAGGCAAGTCTCTGTAACCACTAATTTAAAAGGAAGCAAATTCAGATTTGTATTTCCTCAATAAGTGTAACTTCATCATGAGCATCCTGAAGTAAATTTTATCTTTGATAAGGTGAAACCACAAAAAGTAAACATTTGATATACGAGCCAAAAACTTCCCTCAAGTGCTACTATGGATTGTATTAGGAATTTTGCAAACAAGCTTGAGTCTTCTGTTAGTTTAGTATTTAGAAATAATAATGTTTCAGTATACAATAAGCCTAACCATCAATCTTCTATTGCTGACAGCATCAAAATAAACAGAATTATTTGAATCAAACATTTAATCCCCTCCCTTGCCAGCAATAAAAATATTTAATAGTGTTGACGTGCTTCAACGATTTCCTGGAGAAGACAATTGCTCCAAAAGTAATACTGTACAGTACGATACAGTAATTATCTACAAACTTGCAATATAAAAAGCTTACCATCAATATCTTCATCTCTTAGCACATCATAATTCTTGCCACCCACTCCATCCTCCTCATCAATATCATCAGCTTCCTCTTCCTCATCAGAGTCTAAGGTGTGCTTCTTCTCTTTAGGAGAAATCAGATGTTCACGTTCAGAGTATTTAACACCCTTGCTTGGTACATAATCTTCGTCATCGTCATAACTGTATGGTCCCGGGGCTCTTTTCCTAGACATCTGTGGAGCAAAGGGTTTAAAATTAAATATTAAAGCTACATACACACGAGGGTAATAAATATAGGACAAATGAGTGTGTGTGTACTTGCTATAGTTTGGTAAGTGCCAGAAATCCTTGAAAGATAGGAGAGAGAGAGAAAAAGAATGTTTGTGTGTGTGTGATATATCCAAGAGAATAAAATATGACATTGGTTTAACCTGGAAAAAAAATTATAAAACAAAATAATAATAATTATGTGGACAGAACAACCAGATATCTTAGGCAGGTCACAAGATAAGAAGACAGTAATACTGTAGGAGATGGCTAACACCAGAAGGAGTTGTTCAATTTCATTCATCTTTTTCACAGATGTTTTTATCATTATACAGTAATAAGTACTTTCTGTTCAATATGGCAGGGGGTCAGGGGTCCGCTCCTCGGCTAGGAAGTTAGGTAAGGTTTGGTAGGATTTTTTAGTTGGTTAGGTCAGGTTCTATTAGGTTCTAGTAAATGTCGCCTCCTTTAAATTACCTATTATAATGATAAGAACACCTGTGGGAAAAATGAACGAAATTGAACAACACCTTCTGGTGTTAGCCATCTCCCCAGGATTACCAAGAAGGGCTTTCCCAGTGGCACAAATTATACATACTGTAGAGCAGTGGTTCTCAACCTTGTTTGCCCCATGCACCCCTTTCACCATATGTCAGAATGTCATTCCCCCCCTCCTTTCCAAGATTGTCTGCCTCAAAAAGTGCATTCCAAATAATATGCATATAATACTGAAAATCCTTTATTTTTTCCATATTAGTACATATACATTTACAATTTTACATGGATTATTTTTATAGTGGAGTTTTACAAATTAAATGCCAATTGAAAATGTTGATGGATTTATAAAACTTGAATAAAAGTAAAATAGTTTTTTTTTATTTATAATGAATTACTTAACAGACCAAACTGAAGCATAATGCAATAAACAAAAAGTTCAATAGAATACCAGGATATTGTAAATTTGTAATTAATTTTATTCAGATGAAGATTACAGTCAATGAGAAACCTGTGATTGTTTTTTCTTCGCCAATTCTGGGATACGCGGAGGAGTGCTTGAAAGGGCACAACGCAGGTCATTTTCTACCTCTAATCTACTACGTTGCTTCGTTTTAATTTGCAACAGAGTTGAAAAGCCTGACTCACAAAGATATGTCGACACAAACGGAAGCAATGCACGGATAGCTCTTTCTGCCACTTTTGGGTAGGAATCGCACATCAAGGGCCAAAATTCTGTGATTGATTTCTCATCGAACATATCTCTTGCTCCCGAATCAGTTTCCCCCCCCCCCTGAAAACCTGAATTCCCCCCCTGGGGGGAATTCCCCCCTGGTTGAGAACCCCTGCTGTAGAGTGTATGTGATTTGTCTTAAGATGAACCAACCAATCATACCTAAGCAACCTATCCTATGATGAAATAATACCATTTTAAGTAAGCTTTGGTAGGTTACTCTGCTAGGTTAGGTAGGTTTGGTTAAGTAAGGTATGGAAAGGTCACTGAGAGGCGTTCAGTTGCTCATTGCTCCGTCAGTTGCTGGGAAGCATTTGTCAACAGAAGCACTTCACAAATATAGCATTCTTGTTTGACAGAATGTATTTACTCAACAAAAACTTGGGGAACACAGAATATTACCTACTTTGTTATCCAGGGTAAACATTCATATAAAGTATACAGGAGGTCCCCAATTTACAAACATCCAGCTGATAAGAACGAGATTAAACTTAAAATTTACAGTATTTTAATTACCTGATAACTTAATTTTTTTACTTTCATTTACTGTATTTTGTCATTCCATTTCTTCTTTTCACTTAAATTAAGTGAGTTTAGATGTATATAATGACTTAGGCTATGACATGGTGGGATTTTAAACATTGTTCTGTAAGTACAGTATGCACGCAGCAAGTGTTCCGACTTGCATACAAATCCGACTTATGAACAATATCAGAAATGGAGCCAGTTCGTTACCCTTTAATATGAAATCATGGGAATGAAGAGTAGTGCCTCATCACTTTAATGATCCCTGGGCTAATATATGACCCGTGACTATCTGTGGTTCAGTAATTATGGTGGGGTGTTTTTAGAGTTTTTTATGCTGATTACTTTTAGTTCTATTCATTTTCTTGGACAAATGCTTAGTTTTCGAGACATAGGTAAATTAAGATATAGGTCAAGTTAGGTTAGGTTAGGTTAGCACATGAGGTTAATATTCGTCCATTAGCTGTCCATTGGTTTCCAATTTTCAATATTACAGACACAATGACTATATAAAAAATAAATAAAAATTCATATCATATCTTGTGCAAATCAACATTTAACAAGTATCTCACAAATTTCAAGGCATAAATTTCTGTACCCGCCATGTTGCCAGTCACTTCTCTCCTCCTCTTCTTTGCGACATAACAACCAATGACCTTCAAGTATCACGTCAATGTGACTTGAAGCAACCTTCCACCGGCAATTTCGAATTTTGAAGTGCTCTCTCCCTTATCTAGTTGTTATTCAGCGAGTTTATCAGAACAATAGTGAAGCAATCCAAATATTACAGATCACGGTGTCCTACCAACATCAAGATTGTCCTATATGTGGAAATTGTTTACTTTTAAGAAAACACAGAAATTCTTTTGTCTGTAACCAGCTGCACCACAGTAGCAGGTAAGTTCCCCCAAAAAATGGTTGTTAGTTTTTTTTTTTATGGTGTTTTACTAAAACCTGACCGCCATTTTGAAGCAAATTGGTGGTATCGGTTACAAATGAAAATTTCATTTTGTTTAAAAACTGCTAATTTGTGCAAGAAATAAAGGTCAGATTTTAATAAAACTCACCATAATGCACCAAAAAGAAAAATTTGTATCAAAACATGAGGACAGCCAAGGGATGAATATTTACCGCACATGATTTCAGCCAATTTTACATTTTTCCCAACATAATGTAGTATCCTCAAATAAAACAAGTGAAAACTGGGTATTTTTAAACCCATTTTCAATGAAAAACAGCGGACGGTCACGATCTGAATAATTAATTTCCGATCGCTGTAATTACATCATTAAATGGCATTATTGCATTTACACACCACACATTCCTACCACTAATCTATTATCATATTCAAATAAGACGTCTAATTATAAGATAATTTTCATCTATTACATTACCGTCACAAATGTATAATAACGGAGATAGCGTATCCAAATTTTCTCTATTTTCTTCCATTATCACCTACCTCACCTCCCACATTGCGTGTCTCCTTCATAAATCATCACGCGCATGCGTTCCCGTACACATCACGCAGCCAATCAAAAGCGATTTTTTTTGCAACCAATTAAAATGATTTTTGGCTTAATTCGCAGTATTTTTGGCCAAATCGAATTCGATTTTTATTTTGGATCTCTCATATTTCCAGTCATATTCAATTCCGACCATGGAAGTCTGTGATAAGAACATAAGAATGGAGGAAACTGCAGCGGGCCTATTGGCCCATACTGGGCAGTCCCGTTTACACCCAACCCCTATTGCTCATATAAGCATCCAACCTATGTTTGAAGCTATTCAGCGCATTCAAGTTAATGATGATATTTGGTAACTTGTTCCATTCATCCACTACTCTGTTTCCAAACCAGTGTTTACCTATTTCGCGCCTAAATCTAAATTTGTCTAACTTAAAACCATTGTTACGAGTTCGCTCCTGGTTGGATAGTTTGAGTACCTTTGCAATGTCCCCTTTGTTTAGCCCTGACTTCCATTTATACACCTCTATCAGGTCGCCCCTCGCTCTACGTCTCTCGAGGGAGTGCAAATTAAGATGCTTTAACCTGTCTCTATACTCAAGGTTCCTAATGCCCGGGATTAGTCTTGTCATTCTCCTCTGAATTCTTTCCAAGGATTCTATATCCATTCTGTAATACGGTGACCAGAACTGAACTGCGTAATCCAGGTGTGGTCTCACAAGCGCAAGATACAGTTTTAGGATGACCTCGCTAGTCTTGTAACTAACACTCCTTTGTATGAACCCAAGTACGTATGTTATTAGCCTTGTTACGAGCAAAAACACATTGTTTACTTGGCTTAAGGTTCCTACTTATCATTACAGTGGGGTATGCTATAACGAACGGATCCTACTACGAATATTCCTATAACGAACGGTTTTACCTATAAAATTGAGAATGCTATAACGAACGAAACTCCTACAACGAACATTATTTAAATTATTATTATTTTTTTTTTTTTACTAATTTATTGTTTTTTATTACAAGTATTAATGATATTCTTTATTTCAGGGGTTTAGATGCATTTTTATGCACTTTTTTACAATTTTTACAATTATATATTATATTTTTCAGTTAAGTGGTTGTATTTGGGGGCCTGGAACGGATTAATCCTATAACGAATGAATGCTATAACGAACAAGGTTCTAGAACCAATTAGATTCGTTATAGCATACCCCACTGTACTCCTAAATCTCTCTCGAAGTCGGATTTCTCTATGGCATCGTTGTTCATCTGGTATCTGGTTTCTCTGTTTACATCTCCTATACTGAGTACTTTACATTTGTCCACGTTGAACTTCATCTGCCATTTTTCAGACCATTCGAAAATTTTTTTTAGATCTTCCTGTAGTTTTGCGGAGTCCTCGTCAGATTTAATAACACGTCCTATTTTAGCGTCATCAGCAAATTTACTTATGTTGCTGTCTATGCCGATATCTATATCGTTTATGTATATAATAAATAATAATGGTCCAAGTACTGAGCCTTGGGGAACTCCACTGGTGACGTTGCTCCAATGGGATTTAGTACCGTTAATGCTCACTCGCTGTTTCCTGTCCTGTAACCATGCCCTAATCCATTTAAGGATATTACCTTTGATACCATGTGCTTCTACCTTTCTAATTAGTCTTTCGTGGGGGACTCTGTCGAAGGCTTTGCTAAAGTCGAGATATACCACATCATAATTGTGCCCCTCGTCCACCGATTCGAAAACTGATGAAAAGAATGTTAATAGATTAGTTAGACATGAATGCCCGCTTGTGAAGCCATGTTGGGAATCATTGATCAATTTGTGCTTCTCCAGGTGGTTTCGAATAGAGTTTGAAATGATTGAATATAGTAGTTTGCCTACTATTGATGTTAGGCTGATTGGGCGGTAGTTAGAGGATAGTGATCTATCCCCCTTCTTGAAAATCGGTATTACATTCGCTATCCTCCAGGATTCTGGTACTACCTCTGTTTTTAAGGACATGTTAAACAACTTTGCTAAGGGCATACTAAGCTCTTCCTTACATTCCTTTAATACTCTGGCAAATATCTCATTGGGACCAGGTGACTTATTAGGCTTTAGTTTGTCTATTTGCTTACCTACATCGTTACTAGTCACTACTATCTCGCTTAATTTGTTTTCTTCACTATCTCTGAAAAGAGTCGGTGCCTCGGGTATCATGTTTAAATTTTCGGTGGTAAAAACCGTTGAAAAATATTTATTCAAATTATTGCTCATTTCTCCGTCGTTGTCAGTGAGCTCGCCGGTATCTGACCGTATTGGTCCAATCTTTTCTCGTGTTTTAGTTTGATACATTTGGTAGAATCCTTTGGGGTTTGTCTTTGCCTCCCTTGCTATCCTTATCTCATTATTCCTCTTGGCTTTCCTTATCTCGGTTTTAACCCTACTCACCAATACCTTATAATAATCCTGGAGGTAAATTTCGCCACGATTTATCCTTCTACCTATAGCCCTCCTTTGGCCAATGATGTTCTTTAAATAATTATTTATCCCTTTAGAGTCATTGTTATCTGATCTGAGTTTTTTGTATGGTATGTTCTGCCTTTGTGCATTAAGTAACTCATTATTTAAATTGTCGTGGAACTCGGCAATCTCAGATCTCGTTATCAGGTCAGTGTCATCTGTCAGGTTCACGCCCAAGCACGACACCCCTTCTCTCAGCTGCCTCTTTAAACTGCCAAAGTTTGCCCTTCTGAAATCTGGTACTTTAGTGGAATTTTCCTTACGTCTGCCCTGAAAATCTAGCTGGAATCTAATTTCTTTGTGATCGCTGTTTGCAAGTTCGTTCCCTACCTCCACATTGCTAATGAGGTTTTCTCTGTTTGACAGAACTAAATCGAGTATATTATTACCCCAGGTGGGATCGGTTATATGTTGACTTAGGGAACAGTCCTGGATCGTCTCGAGAAAATCCTCTGATTCTGAGTTACCCGTAAGGTCAGTCCAATCTATTTGGCCAAGGTTAAAGTCGCCTACTATACAGACTTTGTTGTGTATGGAAGCCCTGCGCATTTCATCCCAGATAAGTCGCTCATTAACTCTATCAAGATTGGGAGGTCTATATATTACTCCTGTGATTCATTTTTCCCTACCTTCGATTAAGTCTATCCAAATTGTTTCTGGATTGCGAGTTTTTTGGAAAAAAATTAAGAAACTCTAGCATTTTTTCAATCGCATGGTGTTCTCCCGACCTCAGTAAAGTCTCCTAAGTGAAGAAGCTGCCCGCCTATAGCCCCCGTTAAGCGAGAATCAGCATCAGCAACCTGTAAGAATCTCAAAATCCAACGACGAACAGTAACCAGACCAATAAGGTAAGAAATAGGTGATTCCATATGGTGAGAGTCAGTTAGGTTAGGTTAGGTTTAGTTTATGTTTTTGCAGTATTTTTTGGTGTACAGTATTTTATATTCACTCAGCCATTATTTTTTTTCGGAAAACGTCCCACGAAAAAAAAATTGATAAAAAAAAAAAAAAACACGGCCAATTTCCGACGGAAATGAAGGTCATATTCGGTCTAAACACACACAATACACTAGAAAATTTTATTTTTTACTTTCTAGCAGTGGGGTGCGCTTATGCAAATTTACCCATTAAATGATGGATCACATGAACCAGACTAACCAACTTAACTTACGGTACCTTACCAAGACAAAGATCTTAAGTTATAATTTTTATTACTTACTATCATCCAAAGAACATGAGGAAAAAATGAACAAAGTCGAACAGGTCCTCCTGGTGTAAGCCATCTGCTTCAGTATTACAATACCTTGTGTTATGAGTAGGGCCCGGATAGTTATGCACTAAAAAACCATGAAATATGCATGCAAATATGCACTAAAACCGGGGATATATGCATTTATATGCACTAAAAATGTCACTTATAAAGCCAAGAACTGAAACATGCAAGAAGTAGTTGTTGCTCCTTTTGTGCACTATTGGACTTAACAGCTTCGAGTCGGATGTGCTTGCTTGTTTTAAGGTGTTGTTGGACTTGAAATTTCTTGCTCGCTGTCACTGGTGATTCACAATATTTACAAAACAGTACACTTCCATCAGTAGTAAATGCATCAAATTCCTTTACATATGATCTCAGCACTTCATTTTGGTTTCTTTGTACTTTCGGCATTTTCACGAGCAGCAGAAGAGAGTAGCTCCACAGAGCAGCACTGCTCCTGACTGACTAACTCACTAGTCCAATGAGTCATGACCAGGTGTGGAAACGACAGATTAAAGCGACGTGACCTCACCTCACTTCACCTAACCACACCTCACCTCCCAGTACCACGTGTGCTCATTCAGTGGCAACAAAGAGATACTGCCAGATGAATATTTTACCAAAATATGCATTTATATGCAGTTATCTAGGTAATATGCACTTATCATAGAAATCACGCAAAATATGCATTTGCATATTTCATATGCAAATGCATAACTATCTGGGCCCTAGTTATGAGGTATAATTTGTACCCTTTCCAGTAAGAATATCATTTCGGTCATCCCTATATTTAGATATCTAACCTAACCTACCTTAACATAACTTCTTAGCCAGGGGATGCACCACCCCCCCCCATCATAATAAACAAAAAGTACTTAATCAATCAGAGCACACTCACGTCAAAATAGCGTTAGTATTAACGGCAAATTATCAACTTCATAAATATTTAGAAATGAAGTGGAAAAATTAAGGGTAAAGGTGTAGATAACGGGTCCGACTAATTACCGAAATGTACCCAAATGTAGCCAAATATAGCCGCAATGAAGTCAAATAATGGTCCTAGATGAATAAACCGGACTGCCAATCACTTCTCGACTAATATTTGGTGTCAGAAAGTAAAAAAAAATTGGAAAACTTACTTTAATCTGAGTTAATAGATCGCGTGCATGTACCGAGGGAACGAGGAATTACCCAAATGTAGTCGCAATGAAGTCAAATAATGGTCCTAGATAAATAAATCGGACTGCCAATCACTTCTCGACTAGTATTTGGTGTCACGAAGTCACAAAAAATTGGTAAACTTAATTTAATCTGAGTTAATAGATCAAGTGCATGTACCTAACCTAACACAACTCGGATTAAATTAAGTTTACCAATTTTTTTTTTACTTTATGACACCAAATAATAATCGAGAAGTGATTCACAGCCCGAATTACGCTTGTACGACCATCATTTGACTTCATTGCGGCTACATTTGGGTAATTCCTCGCTCACTCGGTACATGCACACGATCTATTAACTCAGATTAAAGTAAGTTTTCCAATTTTTTGTGACTTTCTGACAGCAAATACTAGTCGAGAAGTGATTAGCAGTCCGATTTATTCATGTAAGACCATTATTTGACTTCATTGCGGCTATATTTGGGTAATTAGTCGGACCGGTAGATAACGGCTACCACCATAAGTTGTTTGTTGATTTTCTTTATTTTAGCTGTACTTGTTGTTTTGATGCTTTTAAGTATCTTAAAAGAAACTACAACTGAATCCCTCTTCGAGAGACATTTCCTATTAATGATGGTGAACACTTCCACAAATTCCTCCTCGCCATAGCTAATGTATATCAACCTCAATATTAAGGTAAGTTGTTTAACACATAAATTAACACGATAATGAATAGAACCTGACCTTACATACCCAACCTATGGGTATGTTAGGTCAGGTTCTATGCATTGTAGTTTCCATTTTTGTGTTTAATATCATATTAGTGGCGTGTAGAAAAAAAAATCAACCAATTCCTTCTGGTGGTATAGCCGTTATCTACACCTTAACCAAATTACGTCTACATCTCCTAATGAGTCCAAGTAACTATTGCAATAACTAACTGGCAGAGTAGCATATTAAATTTTACTCATAATATAACAAACTCATTCAGTTCGATATTCTTGATACAAATACGAACACCACTGACTGAAGAGATAAGGTAGATAAATGGTGTTCATGTCGAGGTGATAATATAATAACTTAAAAATGAAAATGTTACTTAATCCATACATATAACAATGTAATAGTATCAACTCTTACCGCGTCAACACACAACCTGTAGTAATGTACACAAATATTCTGTACCTTCCCCTCCCCATGATTTCCAGGAGGTAAAATTTCAAAGGTAAAATTTCAAAGCCCCCAAGGTACTCGGTATACAGTTTAAGTATTTTCCCATGTATTGACAGAATTTTTACACATAATTTTGAATATTAAGATCATATAAATAAATCTTAAGGGGAAATCGTCGATAAAAATGACAAAATAATCAAATTATTTTTATCAGTTTTTGTACTCATGAAAATAATAGAGGGCCCTGCTTGTAGTAAATAGTTTTATTTTTTTGATGTGTGGGGGAGGGGGGGGGGTCAATTATCCTCTGCCCTCTGTCACTGGATCAGCCTCTAGATAAACATTCTGAACATGTGCCAGTCTATTCCAAAATTCGTTGGCAGATTATTGAAAGAATTTGCAACTCTTACTCCCAGAAGTTAGCTCTGAGAGTATTCTATACTGATAGTTTATTAACTTAACACTGTGACCGCTAATGAGGCAATCATTTGACTGAGTAATGCCCTTTGAGTGTCACGGTCACAACTGCACGGCGAGCAGAAACAACACTTAATTATTCATATTATGCTCCACCGTCCACAAAACATGAGTGAAACTATCGGATCCCTCATCTGAGACGTCCGTTTTCTCACCGCTTCAGAACGCTCGAATCAAGGAATGACTAATAAGGAAGTTATACTCGAAGCGTTTAACGGGACGCAGTTGGCGACATTTGGAATCTATTTTAGTTGGTCTCCTCAATGTTGGGATAGCGAGTCGGCGACAATTTTTTTTAGTTTAACAAATTTATTGGCAAAGCTTGTAGTACAGTTTACCTATTCTGAGTAATTCAGTCAGGTCTTGACACTGAGGGTGGTATCACTTCTCACTGGCACGCAGGACAGAGGTTCATGCACAAAGAAATACATCATATTCATTAACAGCTACTGTGTAGTGGATTTCTCCCCTACAAACGCTGTTTGTCGCTGCGTAGCCGACCCCACCAATTCCACAGCGTATGCCTCTGGTCTAGGTCAACCAGCGCCGCCATACATCACGGAGCGGGGGTCAACTACTAAGCCACGCCTACCCCCGCTATTTAAGATCTGACCTCGTGGTGACCTGTCTCTTTCTACCTACACCAACCAGCCAGCAACACCTCCTCCTCCTCCGCCTACCTGGCGGTCCTCGCTCCCGCCGGCGAGCATGGCGACCCACAAGCTGGTCCTCCTCTGAGCATCCTCACCAACCAGCTCTCTCTACATCATCCTTGTAACCATGCTGCCTTCCCAGCACCAAGCTGCATTGTACATCCAATACAACATGTATACATGAAAGCACATTGTGAGTTTCCTTTCTCCATCCCATCCTGAGTGTGAACCAAACATCCTGAACCCCACAACTGTATATATGCATAGAGGTCAGATTCATGTGAGTAATGTCACTGTTCACTGCCATGCAGGACAGAGGTTCGTACACAAAGAAAGAAACACATCATATTCATTAGCAGTATATATGGGTCAGTGGTTCACATACATTGGAGTCATATTCAAATTGAAGACTGATCAGTGTGGACTAGCAAATTTGGGATAAACAGCAAGAATGTCCTCAAGCACCCCCGATTCAATGTAGTAATTACAAAGTTCAAGATACAATAAGTCAGGTGGCCTGAAGTCTTTGACAGTGGCACGTTCAATAATATAGTGTTCACAAGTGTATGCTTTAAAGGTTTATCACAAAGTTTACATGCTGAGTGTTCCGATATGGGTACAGCATTACTAACTTGCCAGATGTGTCTGAATCCTAGCCTAATTCTGGCCACGACTGTCCTTATGCTGGCCATACCGGTACCTCTTGTCACAAAATTTGTCATATTTACTAATGCTACAACTGCCAGGTCTCTCTGCATTTCTCACTTCTTCTAGATCAGAGTTCATGATTCTGACTTGAATGTTTTTAATTACAGCATTGGACAGGCCAAGGTCACGGTCACCATTTTCTGTCTTACATGCCTCATTGGCCAGTCTATCAGCACGGTCATGATACCTGATTCCAACATGGGACGGAATCCACCCAAATTCGATACGAAAGTTGTTCTCATTGGCAGTTATCACATTCCTTTTAATATCACATACAACTTTAGACATAGAGCCTGATGGGCTGTTCATTGATTTCAAAGCACTTTGAGTCACAGAACATCACCCCACCTCCATTTTCTTTAAGGTAGTCTGTGGCTAAGTAGATTCCAGTTAGTTCAGTTTGTGTTGTGCTGGCCCAGTTGTTCAGCCTTTGCTTGTTTGACACTATCATCTCTTTTCCTTTATATATTACAATTGCACAGCCTGTTCTACGTGTGTTTATCTGCACAGAACCATCAGTAAAAGCATAACATTCACTTGATTTAATACTCTCTATGTGTCTGTTAATAGTTTCTAGTGTGACACATCTCATCACATCGGTGTTTAACATTTGCTTACAACCAACAGGAGTGTAATCAATAGGAACTGATATATCCAGCCAAGGAGGAATGGCATTAATAGGTTCGTCTGGGGTGATTGGGACATTCAGTTTCAAGAGATCTGCAACACTTTTATGAAACCACACCCCAAAGAGAGTCTTTTGTGGAAGGTTAACGAGATAGTCAGGATTACTTAGATAGAACATCAACTCAATTTGAGCTGTAGTTTGGGAACCATTGTTCTTCAAAACTTTGACACAAAACATGGTATTAAGTAGAGCTATCCTCTCAGATAGGGAGGGCAGTCCGAGCTCTTTCCTCATGTTTACAATTCTAGTTGATTTTGGGCAACCTAGAATGATGCGCATGGCTTCATTTTGCACTACCTCAAGGCTATTGAGTTGTTTAGGCGGAATAGTCACAAGATGGAGAGCATGATAGTCAACTACAGAACGAATGAAGTGAAGATAGAAAGTACGAGCATAGGTGATGTTAATTCCATAGCCCTTGCCAACAAGGGTTCTCAGGGGTTTAATGCGCTGCATTAGCTTGGTACGAAGGTTGCCGACAAAGTTTGCACCATTCACACAAATTCCAAGATATTTATAGGAGCTACATAGTTCCAAGGGCATGCTGTTAATGTTAAAGTCAAGAGGCAGAGGGTGAGCAGGACAAGGATTGAGGTCCCTCGTCTTGTCAACAGATATTATGAGACCACATTCCACTGTCCTCCGAGCAAATACATCCAGCAAGGTTTGGAGCCTGAGTGTGGTCTGTGTCATAATGCAGATATCATCAGCATAGCATATTACGGCTTCATTTAGCTGAACTGGAATGTCAGCAATAAGCTTGTGCATCAGTATATTAAAGAGCATAGGACTTAACACTCCTCCCTGAGGCGTGCCAAGCTCAAATGATCTCATTCTGGCACTTTTAACTCCCCTAAACAGAACACTGGCATACCTGTTGGACAGATAACCCTTTATCCATGTCAGGAGGTTACCTTGGATGCCAAAATTAGCTAGTTGCTCAAGTATAATGTCTCTATTAGCTACATCAAAGACTGATTTAAGGTCTCTGAAGGCTTTTTGTGTCTTATCTTTTGAGTGAACAAGATATTCTGCAAAGCATGTCTGTGTGCTACGCCCGGGCATGAACCCGTACAGAATAGGGGCGAGTTTGTCTTTGACTTGAAACATGAGACGGTTTAGAACAACTCTTTCAAGGACTTTACACATACAGGATGTGAGTGAAATTGGCCTGAATTTTGGAGAATTAGCTTTAGGGATTAGTACTATGTTTCCATGAGTCCATGTCTTCGGCAGAATACCCTGTGTGAGGCTCATTTGATACAGGTCGAGCAGTGGATGGTTAGGGGTCTCATTCAACAATCTCAGGGTGTTATAGGTTATGCCATCCTCACCTTTCATTAGTGCTGTTGTTAGTTCGTGGTGCATTATAGGAAACTGGTCGGTAAGGAACAGGTTATTTCAATATTGAAACCCCTATTAATGTGTGTGGTGTTAAGATATTGCTGTATGTCAGGAGGCAGGGAAGTGATTTGTGACACACTAGACCACTGGTCTAATAGCATGTCAGCATATTCTGCAGGGCTGTGATGAAGCTGGACTGGGGTGGGTGACTTGGTAATGGTTCTAATTTTGTTCCACACTTCTGCTAGAGTGGTTGTTCTATTAATCCCCTGTAAGAATTGTTCCCAATAGGTGTCTCTCACCTGACCTTTGAGTTCACGAAATTCTCTGTTAGCTTTGAGGAATGCCAAGAGGTTATCACCAGTTTTATTTTGCTTATAAGTGTTGGGAAGCTGTTCTACCTTCTCTCCTTCTTTGGTGAGGATGGGGTCATGTGTCCACAGAGGTGGTTTAGTGCTGCCCCCCTTCCTCCTTGACTTAAGAACATAAGAACATAAGAATGGAGGAAACTGCAGCGGGCCTATTGGCCCATACTGGGCAGTTCCGTTTACACCCAACCCCTATTGCTCATATGAGCATCCAACCTATGTTTGAAGCAATTCAGCGAATTCGAGTTAATGATGATATTTGGTAACTTGTTCCATTCATCCACTACTCTGTTTCCAAACCAGTGTTTACCTATTTCACGCCTAAATCTAAATTTGTCTAATTTAAAACCATTGTTACGAGTTCGCTCCTGGTTGGATAATTTGAGTACCTTTGTAATGTCCCCTTTGTTTAGCCCTGTCTTCCACTTATACACCTCTATCAGGTCGCCCCTCGCTCTACGTCTCTCGAGGGAGTGCAAATTAAGATGCTTTAACCTGTCTCTGTACTCAAGGTTCCTAATGCCCGGGATTAGTCTTGTCATTCTCCTCTGAATTCTTTCCAAGGATTCTATATCCATTCTGTAATACGGTGACCAGAACTGAACTGCGTAATCCAGGTGTGGTCTCACAAGAGCAAGATACAGTTTTAGGATGACCTCGCTAGTCTTGTAACTAACACTCCTTTGTATGAACCCAAGTACTTTATTAGCCTTGTTACGAGCAAAAACACATTGTTTACTTGGCTTAAGGTTCCTACTTATCATTACTCCTAAATCTCTCTCGCAGTCGGATTTCTCTATGGCATCGTTGTTCATCTGGTATCTGGTTTCCCTGTTTACATCTCCTATACTGAGTACTTTACATTTGTCGACATTGAATTTCA